TGCAACATATAATTTCTAAATTCTAATATGAGAGAGAGAGAGAGAGAGAGATGCACACAGAGCGCCTTTTGACTTGCCAAAGAGTAAAGGAGATTTGTGTTTGGACGGAAGATGGAAGAAGAATCAAGAAGGAACAATCTGCTGCCCGTTAGGAAATAATAGTAATATTTTTGGAATAAAAAAAATATAATATATTGCTGGGTTGCTGGGCTTTTTAAAACATTTGGAGGCCCCTAAATTTTGGGGGCCCTGTGCGGTCGCACAGCCCGCACATGCTGTGGGCCGCCTCTGTTCTCAACATGGGTTTTTATTACAGGTACTCCGTTTTAAAAGTTCTTATTTTAGTCCTTGAATGTCCAAATCAATCAATAGATCCTTTATATTTTGGTCTCACATCAATTTGGTTTTGTTGTCGCATTCCAACAAAACTTTGTTAAAACTGGTCACGTATCATCACCTGACCAACTTATTTCATCAAAATATAACTCAACTTATTTAGTCCTAGAACTCAATTTTTTGCTCAACAAAATCATATGCTTTCCATTCAAGGTTTCACATTTAGGTTCCATCAAGGAGAGTACACAGCCTTGTTGAGCAACATATGTAATTTTTTTTCCTTTGTTTTTCAGAGTTTCAATTTCTTCATCCAAACAGAGGGTTAAGGATCACATTGATTGATTGGAAAGTTTGAGAATTCAAATGAGGACTTTTGAAAAGTTCAAGGACCATTCATGACAAAAACCCTTATGAGTATCTTTCTATTCGGAGAGGCTGCATTTGTTGAAGCTTGTTACCTACCTACGATATACAATGTGACATAGTGTCAAGCATTCAGGTGGGATACTTCTGAAACCCTATGTCACATAAATAGTAACTTCTCACTTTCCATCCATTTCATTTCAGTAATTCCAATATATTTTTCTCCCAAAAACATCAAAGTCGAGGAACCATTGATCAGAGAAAAGTCTATGAGAAAGCTATGCATACTAAAAAACAAACATAATCGAATTAGTTTTCCAGTCATGTGCATTGAGTTGAATGGCTCCTTCAATAAGTTATCTTGTCAATTCTTAGTTAAAACCGATGAACACGCTCATTTTAAGGCCTCTCAAACTCTCAGTAGCAGCCAAGCCAAGTGATAAAGACAACGAATATATAGGTTTCAAGTGCAGCCACTATCTTGACTCAT